CCAAACGGTCGTCTCCCTCTGGATAATGGGTAGGGTGCTTGACAGCTTACACTGGAACCAGCGTCCTCCTCTGGACTGGTGCCATAAATACTACAACTCCTGTGTCTTGAGACAAGGGCTCTGGAAACGAATGTTAGCTCACCAGGGAACCAACAAAAAAATTGCCCACAGTGTAGTAATTTAAAAAATAGATTTAATATTCCACATGGTTAGAGAACATAAAATAAAGGTAAAAAGTGGAGTAATGGCCCCTTTAACGCATTTTGTACGATTGCACTTCTTCAGAAAGGAATGGCCATCACGCCAGTGCCGTGCGTCATGTCTTTATATGTGTTATTGCAAACTGTTTTAGGACGCCCGCGCATGCGCAGTACACTCGCGTCATCTTGCTGCGCTTCGCGCATGTGCGGTACGTGCATCCCGTAAAGTAGTAGCCGGCGCATGCGCAGTCCATCCGCGTCATGTTGCCGAAGCACGGGAATGGCCTCGCGCATGCGCGAGCGCCATTTTGCCATAGTCTGGTTAAGATGTAAACAGGCTGATGTCCTGTGAACAGAGCAACGATGACAGCTGAACAAAACCACTTGTAAGTGGGAGAAAATCACACAGCGGAAATCAACAAAGGATATATAACAAAGTATTGAGATGAATTTTTGATATTGACCAAATACTTATTTTCCACCATAATTTGCAAATAAATTCTTTCCAAATCAGCCAATGTGATTGTCTGGATTTTTTTTCTCATTTTGTCTCTCATAGTTGAGGTCTACCTATGATGCCAATTACAGGCCTCTCTCATCTTTTTAAGTGGGAGAAATTGCACAATTGGTGGCTGACTAAATACTTTTTTGCCCCACTGTATATATGAATACTGCCCATAGATATTTATTTCCCAGTGTGGAAAATAATGTCCAAATTCTCCAGTCTATGGCAAAGGTACCACCAGCATATTGTTACAATAAAATGGAAATAAATTTAAAACAGATGCATAAACAAATCATAAAACCAATCAATAGACAAAAAAAGCATACAAACATAAATAAAAATATATATGTATATAAAATAAATGAATAGAATAATACCAAAAAATTTAATAGAATGCACTAAAAGCCCTTAAAACGCAAATAAAATGCTATACCAGGGATAAAATAAATAAAAGATACTAAACAGGAATACAAGAAATATAGATCTTAAATTAAAAATTTAAATTTTGAGAAGTGTAATAAATAAGCAGGGAGGAAGACATGATAATAAAAATATAAATATATAAAAAAAAAAAAAATATGAAAAATGAAAAGATGCATAAAAATATAAAAAGCTAATAGCCCAGTAAAAAGGGGAAATTAAGGAAAATGAGAGGCAACTAAAACTGCAGTAAAAGCATCAGCTATTGTCAATAAAGCAGTTCAGGTCGATGTCTTTGTTGAGACCTTTTGGGTACAAACTGTCTATTTCAAAAATCCATTTTTTTTTCCGGCTGGGAAACCGCTCTCTTCTTATAGGTACCTCGCCAGTGGGATGTGATGATGTCTATTCCCACAAATTTCAGAGAGGTGGGGTCTCTGTTGTGATGTTGTCTGTAATGTCTGGGAAGTGAATGTTCCTTAAAGCCCCTTTTGATATTATATACATGCTCCCATAAGCGATCTCTAAGTCTCCTTGTTGTGCGCCCAACGTATTGTTTCCGACAGGGGCACTCTAAAATGTATACCACAAAATGACTGTTACAAGATATGAAAGTTTTAATGTTATAGGTTTTGCCCGTAGTGTGTGATGCGAAAAGAATTAATTTTCGTTTTCCTGGTGTTGTTACAACAGCAGATGACGCATCTGTTACAAGGAAAAAACCTTTTAAGTTGGTAAAGAGTGATGTGGCTATAGGCGGGTCTGATGCGTTCGGGGCTAGCTGATTCCTAGCTTTTTTTTAAAAATCACCACCGGTCTTTCTGGTATAATACGTGCTAAAACTGGGTCTGCTTGTAGGACATTCCAGTTTTTCTGTATAATGTTCCTAATGGCTCTGTGTTGAATTGAAAAAGTTGTGATGAATGGACAAAACATATTACGTTCCTGTTTGGGATTAGGTTTGCCAATTGAGCTCTATGGTGCCCTGCAATGAGCACAGGGCCTACTAGAGGATGTCGGGGCCCTCAGGCCACCATCATGAAGTCTGTTTCTGATTGTTTGGTCAGAGACATTCACACCAGTGGCCTGCGGGAGGTCATTTTGTAGAACTCTGGCAGTGTTCATCCTGTTCCTCCTTGCACAAAGGAGCAAATACTGGGAGAATGGGAGTGCTGTGCAACCTCTGTAGGGTCCAGGTATCGCCTCATGCTACCAGTAGTGACACTGAAACAGTCAGAAAAGATGAGTAGGGAAAAAATGTCATTGGCCTCCACCTGTAAAACCATTCCTGTTTTGGGGGTCATCTCATTGTTGCCCATCTAGTGCACCTGTTGTTAATTTCATTTCCACCAAAGCAGCTGAAACTGATTAACAACCCTCTCTGCTACTTAGCTGACCAGATCAATATCTCAGGAGTTTAATTGACTTGATGCTATACTCTGATTAAAAAGTGTTCCTTTAATTTTTTTTTGAGCAGTGTATACAGTGAAGGAAATAAGTATTTGATCCTCTGTTGATTTTGAATGTTTGCCACTCACAAAGAAATGGTCAGTCTAAAAATCAAATGGTAGGTGTACTGTAACACTAAGAAGAGACACAATAGCAACAAAAAATTCAAAAGAAATGCATGTCTAATAAATTATGCACTGATTTGCATGTTCATGAGGGAAATAAGTATTTGATCCCCTATCATTCAGCAGGATTTATGGCTACCAGGTGTATTTCATACAGGTAACAGAATGAGATTAGAAGCAGTCTCTTAAAGGGAGTGCTGCTAATCTCATTTTGTTACCTGTATAAAAGACACCTGTCCACAGGAGCAATCAAACAATCAGATTTCAAACTCTCCACCATGGCAAAGACCAAACAGCTGTCCAAGGATGTCAAGGACAAGATTGTAGACCACCACAAGGCTGGACTGGGCTACAGAACTTCACCAAGCAGCTTAGTGAGAAGGTGACAACAGTTGGTGAAATCATTAGCAAATAAAAGAAACACAAACTGTTGTAATTCCTACACTGTTCACCTGATTTGGATGTAAATACCCTCAAATTAAAGCTGACAGTCTGCAGTTAAAGCACATCGCGTTTGCTTCATTTCAAATCCATTGTGGTGGTGTATAGAGCCAAAAATGTTAGAATTGTGTAGATGTCCCAATATTTATGGACCTGATTGTACTACATTCCCTTTAATGTTTAAAAAGCACAGAGTCAAAGACCTGTGGACAAGATCATATGCTAACATCCTTTGTGCCAAGTATAAACAAGATCATGCTGAGCAATGAGCATTTTACACTACCCATTCAAGCTAAAAATACTTGCAACATTTGCTTCTAAGCAGACAAAAGTGGGCCATGTCTACCACTTAATTAATAAATCATGTATGTTACAAAGCAGGAACTATATAATTTGCCAAGCATAATATGCCAAGTAATATCAGATGATAATTATATATACAAAAATGATTGTGCTCACAATGGTCCAAAATATAGTCTTTCTAGTTCCGGATAACATAAAAAGCTCAAAATGTAATCAAATTTGGTTCAAATACACAAATTAGAACCACATGAACCATGAAAGTATGCAAAAAAATGGACAGGAGCCTATTTGTTGCAAGCCTGATGGGCATGGACTTTTTAAGTCATATCTAATGTACGATATTGTAAAAGTTGGGCCAAGCATAGTCTTTAGAGTGCCATCTGTAACAGTCATGTAATCAGATTGCTATACCCCATGGGCATGATTTAAAAAGCAACCACTATGGTGGGCAGAGAATATGAAGTGCCAAGTTTAAAAAACTCGGTATTAAATTAATATTTTACAGTGTATGAAAAGAAGTCAGACATAATGGTTGGTTGGTTGGTGGACTTTGTTTTACTGTTGTTCTTGAAACCCAGAGACAATTGACCAGACAGTGATGCCCGCATACACCAACTATCTTTGAGGCATACAAAGATTTAGAAAAAGCATTTGAAAAGAATTTGCTACAGAATATGCTGATTATGATATTTATACTTGCAGGATGCAGAACCCAATCCCTGAAGACCAAACTCTTAACCTCTTAAAAGGAATCAAACTCTTCAGGTAAAGAATGTGGAGACATGTGACCTGAGATTTTCTATTACTTATGGAAAACAAAAAGTCAATCATCAAAGTATGGGTTTCTTAAAAGAATGAGACTACTACGGAAGGTATAAAATTTGATGACTCAATAGGAAACTAAGGATTGTGCTTTATTTTCTTTGTATTCATGTCTAAAATTATGTTTGATACTGATACATGATAAATGGAAGTGGTACCTTCCTTGCAAAACAAATAAACATTTAATATAAAGCAAGGGGATCTCTGAGCTGGAGATGTGCAGGCCAAAACATTTGTTTCATTTCAGATTCATTTGTGAAGTCATTCATTTTGTATCATCATATTCGTTATATTAGAATGATTAGTTTTTGGAATTAATTTTGTATATTCGGATTTGTTTCCTATATTCGTTGTTCCAAATCAATTTGTATTTTCCTGAAGTTATTTCAGAAGATTCGAATTCATTCCTTAACCACCTTTCGCCCGCCATATAGTAATATGAAGGGCGCAAGGTGGTTCTCTCGTTTTGGGAGGACGTCATATGACATCCTCCCATTCTCACTGCGCATGCACGGCTCAGGGAGCGTGCAGCGATCGGCGGTGCGCTGTGTCCCTCGGACATAGCGGATCACCGATCACAGAAAGAGCTAAAGATGTTGGCTAGGTCATGTGATCAGCTGTGTCCAATCACAGCTGATCACATGTAAACACGGAAATGCCAGTTATCGGCATTTCTCTCCTCTCGAGCTGTCAGCATGACAGGAGAGGAGAGCCGGTAATCGGCTTTCCGCGGAGGGGATATGTACACTGATGATCAGGGCACTGATGATCAGTGTGCCCTGATGATCAGTGTAGCCCCAGTAGTGCCACCTGTCAGTGTCAATCAGTGCCTTATGTCAGTGCTCATCAGTGCCTCGTGCCAGTGCCCATCAGTGCCACATCAGTGCCACATATCAGTGCCTACCAGTGCACATCAATGCCACATATCAGTGCCCATCTGAGCTGCCTTTCAGTGTCACCCATCAGTGCCAGTCAGTGCCACCTATCAATGCCAATCAGTGCCACCTATCAGTGCGCATCAGTGCCGCCTATCAGTGCCAGTCAGTGCCGCCTAACAGTGCCAGACAGTGCCGCCTATAAGTGCCAGTCAGTGCCGCCTATCAGTGCCGCCTATCAGTGCCATGTATCAGTGCTGCCTTTCAGTGTACCACTTACCAGTGCCACCTATCAGTGTCCATCAGTGCAGCCTATCAGTGCCCATCAGTGCAGTCTCATTAGCGCATATCAGTGAAGGAGAAAAATCACTTATTTACAAAATTTTATAACAAAAACTAAGAAAAAAAATTTTTTTTTTCAAAATTTTCAGTGGTTTTTGGTTTAAGAAAAAATAAAAAACCCAGAGGTGATTAAATACCACCAAAATAAAGCTCTATGTGTCACAAAAAATGATAAAAATTTCATATGGGTACAGTGTTGTTTGACCGCTCAATTGTCATTCAAAGTGTGACAGCGCTGAAAGCTGGAAATTGGCCTGGGCAGGAAGGGGGTATAAGTGCCCTGTAGGCTAGTGGTTAAAGTGGAACTGCACTGCATCTGAGTACCACAAACCAAAAATGCTATATAATTCATTTTTAATATTCAAAACAAATGCCTCCATCCATGTCTCTATGCTTTATTTTTCAAAAACAGCTCCTGACTTTTCTGGCAGTGGCCATCTTGAGTAAGGGCAGATGATTCATGTAGCAGTTACTCCCTGGAATCCATATGTCCTTAGCTCAGGCATTGGCTGAGCTGAGAACCCTTCCCTCTTGAAGACTCCTGTGATTTATGACATCATTTGCCTAGGCATGGAATCCAGGAAGTAAATGAAGAAATGCAAAAAAAAAAGGTTAAAATAAATAAATGATATACACTATATTGCCAACAGTATTGGGATGCCTGCCTTTACATGCGCATGAACTTTAATAGCATCCCAGTCTTAGTCTGTAAGGTTCAATATTGAGTTGGCCCACCTTTTGCAGATATAACAGCTTCAACTCTTCTGGGAAGGCTGTCCACAAGGTTTAAGAGCGTGTCTGTGGGAATGTTTGACCATTCTTCCAGAAGTGCATTTGTGAGGCCAGGCACTCATGTTGGACGAGAAGGCCTGGCTCGCAGTCTCCACTCTAATTTATCCCAAAGGTATTCTACCAGGTTGAGGTCAGGATTCTGTGCAGGCCAATCAAGTTCCTCCACCCCGAACTCACTCATCCATGTCTTTATGGACCTCTCTTTGTGCACTGGTGCGCGGTCATGTTGGAACAGGAAGGGGCTATCCCCAAAAGCATGAAATTGTCAAAATGTCATGGTATGCTGATGCCTTAAGAGTTCCCTTCACTGGAACTAAGGGGCCAAGCCCAACCCCTGAAAAACAACCCCACATAATCCCCCCTCCACTAAACTTTACACTTGGTACAATGCAGTCAGGCAAGTACAGTTCTGGCAACGGCCAAACCCAGAAACATCCATTTGATTGCCAGACAGAGAACACTGCTCTAGAGTCTCCACTGCTCTAGATTCTAGTGGTGGCGTGCTTTACACCACTGTATCCAACGCTTTGCATTGCACTTGGGGATGTAAGGCTTGGATGCAGCTGCTCGGCCATAGAAACCCTTTCCAAGAAGCTCTCTATGCACTGTTGTTGTGCTATTCTGAAGGCCATGCGAAGTTTGGAATTCTTTAGCTATTGACTCTGCAGACAGTTGGTGACTTCTGCACACTGTGCACTTCAGCATGCGCTGACCTCCCTTTGAGAATGCGCGTGTGCATGAAACGCGTCAGTGAGGAGACTATGTGCTGACATCACGCCGCCAAGTCCATAGTTATGGTCCAGCAGCCATATTTGTAAGGGGGCTGTTTTTTATCTCTCCACATGGATGTGTTTGTTACTTTTTACAATAAATTACTATTATTATTATTATACAGTATTTTTTTATAGCGCTAAAGGGTTTGCTCAGCACTGTACATTACAGTGGGGGACAGAACATGAGACAATACAGTAACAAAAAAAACAAAACACGAGGGATTCAAGGGCCCTGCTCTTTTGAGCTTACAATCTAAGAGGGAGGGGGTAGAGGTACAGGAGGAAGTGGCTGTGGGGGATGGTGTGGTAGGAGGAGTGGAGGAGATCGGCTGTTAGGTGAGGGCGGGGTAGGCTTCCCTGAAGAGATGGGTTTTCAGGGTGTGCCTAAAGGTGAGGAGGGTAGGTGACAGTCTGGTGGATTGGGGTAGTGAGTTCCAGAGGATGGAGGAAGTCCTGGAGAAGTCCTGCAGTCGGATGTGGGAGCATCTATACTATACTATGTACCACCATTTCTAGGCTTTGGTTTGTGAGCTTTCCTTTAGGATTCATCTAAAAGATCGGTATGTCATCCCTATAGTGAAGGAGCCGCACAGTTCTGTTCACAGCCTGATTTATTTTATTTATGGTGAGTGCATATTGGTGGAGGATTGTCACAGAAGTCTTTGCTACATGGATATCAGCTCACCTCATGATTGTTTGTGAATACAGTTGCAGTTCAAGGATCATTTGCTACACTCAAGGACACTTCACTTGGGACTTTTTTGATTGTTTAGTATTATTTGTTCATACATGTTTATTACTTTGACATATGTTTACACTTACATAATGGCATATATATATAGCTTGCACTCTTTATGATTGTATGTTGATTTGTGGATTTAGTGGGATCACCATTTGTGCTTGCTGCTTTCAGTTTCTTCCTAGCGCTCGCTTGCTTTGACACTATTTCTTGATGTGCTGACCACATTCTGGCATTTTACGTGGCCTAACACTTTGTGGCTGAGTTGCTGTTGTTCCCAGTTGCTTCCACTTTTTTATAATAATACTAACACTTGACCGTGGAATATTTAGTAGCAAGGAAATTTCACGGATGGACTTATTGCACAGGTGGCAACCTATCACGGTACTAGTCTTGAATTTACAGAGCTCCTAAGAGCGACCCATTCTTTCACAAATGTTTGTAGAAGCAGTCTGCATGCCTAGGTGCTTGATTTTATACACCTGTGGCCATGGAGGTGATAGGAACACCTGAATCCAATGATTTAGAGGGGTGTCCCAATACTTTTGGCAATATAATGTACTTTCCTATCTATTTACTAATATTATCAGCATAAGGATTATAAATAGTCCATGTTGATTGAGAAAGTGAAGTTCCTGTTTAAGTTTCACCTGCGACTTTGCATTGTGACTTTGATGGGACTTGCTTGTAACTTGCTTGCGACTTCAATAGAACTTGGATGCCTTGCCACTTGCGTGCAATTTTGATGTGACTTGCTTGCGACTTTGGTTTTGGCTAATCATAACAATACAAGAGTGTGACACATATTATTGAACTTCCAAGACCCTCTGAGGTCACAAACAAATGAAATTAATTAGTATGAATGAATTAATAAACAAATGACTCTTTTTCTTAATCCCTAAATTATCCCTTTTCAAATAGAATCTACTCATAAATAAAGTAAAATATAAACCTACAACACAACCGTGCAATAACAATCAAAATAAATAAAAAATACAATGTGTAAAGTAAAAAATAGTGTCCGAAAATGTCTCTCAAACAATTCGGATCACTTTCTCTCCTCCTTCACAGCTTTTCAAAGTGGTGGATGATAGCACCTCCAAATTTCTTACACTTCCTTTGGGCATACATCCATGTCCTTTGGGCATATATCCAAATCCCTCATAAGGCAAATAGGCAGTTAGAGGCTTGATAATAAAGGTATAATACTTTATTTTGTACATTTACATTAAAAACTCCAACTTTCAGCTTGTATGGCAAATGAACAAGCACTTCTCTGGAGTAAACTGCATTTTCCTTAAGCAAAGATGGCCGCAATCGCACTTCCGGTAAAACGTAATTGCGTCATACGTCACGTGTCCCCGACGGGTTTCGTCACATCCTGGACTTTGTCATCAAAGGGAGGTGCTATCATCCACCACTTTGAAAAGCGGATTTTTACCTCTATAGGGTAATTGTTCATTTGTTGCACTAAGTTGGAGTGATCACTTTTTAACACAAATTTTTTGGATTCACATTTGTTTGGTTGCATAATAGTAGTGGTTGCAGTGTTTTGAGTTCACTGTCACAAGTAATAAGATACACATTACACTTATTTTGAGTAATTTTATTTGTGCACATTTAGTATATATTCCCCCCCCCCTTTTTTTTTTTTCTCTCATGGTTTGAACACCTGTTATGGAGTGTGCATGACACATAGTGCACAATTGTATGTAATTAAGGTAATACACTATTTGCGGTTTATATATTTTTTTTTGAGGTTTTCTACATTGGATTATCATATTTGGAATTTCGTATACAGTATCACAAGAAGAAGTTGTGAAGGAGGAGAGAAAGTGATCCGAATTGTTTGAGAGACATTTTGGGACACAATTTTTTACTTTACACATTGTATTTTTTATTTATTTTGATTGTTATTGCACGGTTGTGTTGTAGGTTTATATTTTACTTTATTTATGTAGATTCTATTTGAAAAGGGATAATTTAGGGATTAAGAAAAAGAGTCATTTGTTTATTATATCACTTTCAAGGGAGAAAGTTTTTTTATCTTTTCTTTTCTCTATTGTAGTTATTTAAACTTGGGAGTGTTCGCAATACTGATATTTGAAATATGAATGAATTCATTGTTTTTGTTATAATTTAGTTTGGATTTTCTTAATTCATTACTATTGTGATTCGGAGATTTAGACAGATCCAAATCTCTGAATAGTGAAAATCTCCTCCGTAACTAAACAAATCAAATATGTCTTCTCTGAGCACTGTGGTTTTTCTTAAAAAATAGATACTGTGTCCAGTGGAGCCCTACAAAGGGAGGAAGAGGATGGAGGATGAATTACTGCTCTAACATTTATTTGTGTGTAAATTTTAATATGAGCTACTGTAAAGAATAGATGGAAACAAAGGAGATAAAAAAAGACCCTAAAAAACATGTGACTAGTAGCTGAGATCTTGAAATATTATAAGAAAGTATGTATTTACAATATTTCATTTTTATTTACTTAAAAATATATATATTTTTTAGTTCAGTCAATCATAAAATAAAGTAAACCCGCCATACATTCAATGTATATGTGCTTCAGCATATTACAAGTGCAAGCAAAATGTGATAATTAAACAGATTCTCAGAAAATAGGTGCAGATACTCCCTTCCCTGAAGTCACCTTTGTCACTGCCTCCTACCCATTTTGTCTCTACTTTCCAACCCCTACTCACCTCCCAGTACCGCCTCTTTTAGAGACAAACCAAACCAATGTATCATTTTGTGGTGCACCATTTTGTGGTGCAATTTATTAATCATAACAAGAAAGGCAGTAAATAAGATTCCCTGCAGCCAGCAACATCAAACAGCCCCCCAGCAACAATAGATCCACCACACCTACAAAAAAGCCCTGAGTATAACACAGAGGTAGTAGCCTCAAAGAACAGTCTATAAAGCAGAATGAATATGAAATGCATGTAAAAAGCTGGCATGATTATGTAAAAAAAGTGTGTCAAAATTGGTTTTTATATCTATCAACAGTATGCCATTCCCCTCAATAAACAGGAAATATCTCCAGTAATGTAATACCCCTATGCCCAGTACTGCTGGCCCTAGTATGTAATTAAATCCTTCAGGCCAGCTGATGACATGGGTTTGTGTTAGCAGGCTTGTATTTTCTCAATTTTCCAGTTGAATGTCATGAATAAGGCCCCATCCACATCTGTTAATATACTTTATTGTGTGCTTTCAATAGTAGTTTTGATAGTTAATGCCTATTTTTAATATGTATGGATGTATGTATTTATGTGCTTAAAAAAGGTGTTTTTAATGTACTGCATTAGATTGGGGGAAAAACCTGACATACCATATACTGTGTGTGTTACATGTGTTTTGAAATGATTTCATTATTTTCAGAGGGACCAGGAACATACACTGCCATGATCAGGTATTTCACCTTAGTGCCATGATCTAAACAAGGGGTAGTATTGCTATCGAAGTGGTAATATTTGGCCCCACTACAGGAAAACACAAAGATGTAGAGGGCCTTTGAGCCTATTTACATGCATCCTAAATGCATAACCATATGGACTACGCATAATAAGTGCAAAAAAAAAACAACAAACATCCACAAAATTTCCAAAAATGTAAAAAAAATTCCAAAAATTTGATAACTCAGTCCCAAGTCAGTGAAAATAGTGCAAGGTGCTTAGTGTTTTGTTGTTGTGGATTTTTGTTGATTTGGCACTGATTCGCACCTTGCACTATTTTCACTGATTTGGGACTGAGTTATCACATTTTTGTGGATTTTTGTTGTTTTTTGTACTTCTTATGCATGGTCCCACGTGGTTATGCGTTTAGGTTGTGTGTTTAAGGTCACAATTTAGGACTGCTGCAGGTGACAATTGAGAGATTCCTATATTTCCATAAGTGCATTAGCATATCTTTTCATATTTACATGCATTGCATATTTGTCTCTTGGCAAAGTATATTTTAAACCCTACCTATGTTAAGGAATAGGGCTACTTACAGTCTGCATTTGGTGCTACAGTGCTTTTCATAGCAAACAACCTATCTACATAGTGTGGACATGGTTGCAGTGAAACCTAACTTGAAAGCCACAGTTTTTTGGTTCATATATTTGTAGCTCAAACGTAATGAATGGGCCATAAAGGGAGAGCTTTCCATTTCTAATACCTATCTACATAGTTTGGACATGGTTGCAGTGAAACCTAACTTGAAAGCCAGTTTTTTGGTTCATATATTTGTAGCTCAAACGTAATGAATGGGCCATAAAGGGAGAGCTTTTCATTTCTACAACCTATCTACATAGTTTGGACATGTTTGCAGTGAAAACTAACTTGAAAGCCACAGTTTTGTGGTTCATATTTTTGCAGCTCAAATGTAATGAGTGGGCCATAAAGGGAGAGCTTTCCATTTCTTCTGTAAACATGTGAAGTGGCAGATCCAGACTGTGTGTATGTACTAATGTATTAACTCTTGTTTAGGTTTAGGGATTTTTTTTAACTCTTTCTATTTCAGTTGCAGAGTAGCAAAGTTATTTCACTGTGCCAGGCCACCTAAATATTCTGATGTATGCTATCACTCTACAAGTAGATTAAATGGGAGGGGGTGTGTGACTTGGAGATCTTTAAGTAGCAAAGAGTAACCAAGTTGGTCACCTAGCCTGTCCCTTGGATGGGAGGTTTACTACTGACTTGATACAGTAAAGAAGGAAAAATAATAATTCTCTGTTATCCGACAGCCCAGATAGGAACTCCTACCAAGAGACCCCCATTAAGAATTTTCTTCATATTCTCATTCACAATTTTCCCTTTAAAGGAAAGATTACATTTAATACAGTTTGTCCTCTGCCAAGATATGTCTTGTTCATAATAACATACTCTTCCAAATCTGCCAAGACTGGTAAAATAATACATTAGGTACTGGTATGCTGTCCAGCAAGATAAGGTATTTGGCAAGCCTCTTTGGATATCACCAGTCTTTTTCTTACAAAACAAGAAAGATCCATGAGAGAATGTCCGCTTATTTGCTATTTAGATTCAAATTGTAGGGTAGTGTTTATTTTAATAAAAAGCAAATGCAGGTATATTTCTGTGTCTGAACTGTGCTTGCTGTAATGCCACAGCATTACAGATGTTATTAAAGCAAACCTGTGCTTTGCCAATGCAAGTCAAAGCAACAGTTTTTTTCTTTAATGCCTCTCTTTCCAGCAACACATACTTATCTTTTTTCCTTGATCCATCTCCACTCTATTCAGTCCCTGAGAATTAAAGCCAGTTTCACACTGATGCACTGTGGTTTGGCCACAACACTGGTGTACCCACTTTTTTTGTGCAGATAACCCACGGTTTCTCATAGACCTTCTATTGGATTGCATGTTTTTAGGTGAAGCATGCAGGACATTTGGTTTGCTTCCAGAAAACGCACAAAAAATGTGCAATCTAATAGAAAGTTAATGGGAAACCTTGTGTTAACTGCACGAAACCCGCAGGTAAAACTGCACTGCAGCCAAATTTCAATGCAACAGTGTGAAATCAGCCTAACAATTGAGCTCCTGCGTAAGCTCCATGTTACCCTAGGTGGAACATTGAAAGGAATAATGACTCTCACCCCACCACCATTTAACAGCACTGGACAAGTACCAACACTGTTACATGGGAGAAGAAGTGTGAGTCACATGCTCTTGCATATCTGGAAATACTGGATATTTCTTCACTCCCAGTGACTTGAACAAAATGGAGCATTAAAGAGCATCTGCAGATGGGAATTAAAGTATACCAGTTGATTTGCTCTACATGGACAGAGAATGGGCCTGAATCAAGCAATCTACTAAGAGCAATGATATTTGAATCAGGAAGTGGCATAGTCATGCGTAAGGTCATGTAGTATATTACATGCGTAGTGTCTTTGTGGCCTACATCAGAAAGCAGTTCTACAGATTAAATACATAATATATGAGTGTAAAGCAAGCCTTTACTAAGTGGGGATGAGCTTTGGGTTCAGCGAGACCATGAGTTCAAACCCCAAGCTGTTCATGGTTTGAGAAAATGGCAAAAATGGCGAGGTATCACAAAAACTATGTATTTCTACTGACATATAAATGTTGTTCGGAATCCAAACAATAAAGATCTGTAATACCAAGCAATTTCTTGAAGGTCAGTCAATTGGGAATTGACTACCATATTCATGTCCGACTGACCAACAAGAAATTGCTCTGTATTAGATTTTTTATTTTTTTTGATTCAGAACAACACTTATGTTGGTAGAAATGCATGGTTGTTGTGGTTAGGCCTCAATAGGATTATAAACGAATGCTTACAATTCATAATTGTATGATGACTTTATCTATGGTTATGTGTACTAAAATTACTGAATTTTATGAAATATTGTTTGTACACTTTTGTTGAGAGGTTACATCGTAAGTCCCACACTTAATTGTTTTGTTTTTTTTTTTTGTCTTAGTTTGGGGATATGGTGCTTTAATCTAGTCACAGACACACTAACAATGTATTGTACAGTGCTATAACAATTAGGAAGAGATTACAGAGTATATCCTGGGAGATTTATGCATGGTACAAACTGTGAGGTTTTTTTTTTTTAATGAGGCGGTCTCTGTACTAAGTATGTGATGTCCGGCTTCTGTTGGACAGGCTGCTGTACATACAGGCCCATATGTACCAGGCAATAGATGCTATAGGTTTCACTGAAAACCCCTTTATTTATGTTGAGTTACAGACATTGTGAAGTTGATTTACTTAAAGCAGATAGGCTGTTTTCTAGATTAAAATCTGTCTGGTGTGGGTCTTGTTTAACCACTTCCCGTTCGACCCATGTACATAAAAGGGTGGACGGGAGCAGTGCAGGAGTGGGTGGCCGTTTATAAATAGCTTCTGCATTCACTGCCAGTGTGCGCTCCCTGGGAGTGCGGGGCACCGCGATCCGGTGTTCGCTGTGTCTGGAGGACACAGCAGAAACACTGATCGCGGTACGGGACCTCTGTGTGAGGTCCCAATTCATGTGATCCCTGATTGGCCAATCAGTGATCACATGAATAGTAGTAAGCAAGATGTCACTTCCTGACATCTTTGCTTACTACATGTGAAATCTGTGAATGATCACAGAAGTCACATGGTACAGGGCTATTCACAACAGCCTTGTACCATGTGACAAGCTGTGACCAATAACAGCTCTCAAAGTATTTCTCAATGGCTGCAAGAATGCAGCCAGAGAGAAGGAAAAATGATTGCTTTTACAGCCTTTAAGGATGTAAAAGCAATCAGTGTAAAAAAAGAAAAAAAAATCTTTATCACCCCCCACAAGTAGTACAGTGTCACTATCTTTACATTGTACTGCTAGGGTGAGAGTACGTTAAAAAAAAAACGTATGTATGGGTTATTTTTTTTTTTTTTTACTACAAAGATAGCTAAATACATTTTGGCCAAGATTTATGAAGAAAGATTATTTATTTGCAAAATTTTATAAATTTTGGACTTTTCATTTATATAGCAAAAAAAAAAATTCCCCAGTGGTGAATAAATACCACCAAAATAAAGTTTTATCTGTCTCAAAAAAATGCTAATAAATTCATATGGGTACAGTGTTGCATGACTGCACAATTGCCATTCAAAGTGTGATAGCACTGAAAGCTGAAAATTGGGCTGGACAGGAAGGGGGTGAAAGTGTCTGGACAGGAAGTGGTTAAGCAAACATTTTTAGCCTGACATACTGTATACTATGATGAAACGTTAGAACATTAATGAATTTCAGGGGGAATTTTACTCCAGCTCAAGATTCAGTGGCAGCTAGTAGTGACCACAGAGGATGGGTCCTGACATACATGAAGTGTTATAAGACACTTAATTTATATGGCTGTGCTATATCTGTTTGAACAACCATTTTTAAACTTTGTAGTAATAAAGGAGAACAGTGATAGCGAAGACTGAGTGAGCTGGGTGCCTAGCAGAATGAACTGGTACTAGACTCATATGGGGTTCAGTCAACTCCTTTACCTGTTGACTTAATGCCAACAATTGACACTGGATCATTAAATCAGTCAAATGAATTTTAAATTTAGTTTTAGTAAATCTAGTAATGCAGCTAACCTGTGGCTAATCAGAGCCCAACTCCAATACTTATCAGCAAATAGTCAAGGACTTTCTGCTATTTCTGTTTTCTGTTAATGCTTGTGTGCCAATGGAATGTCAGAAAAGTGTGGATAATTAGATTAATTGGGGATTAGGCATTCATATGCTAATGCATACTAACTGTCTACCAGCTGTTCAGACTAAAAAGTAAAACAAAGTTTATCAATGGACATTGTTGCCTGAGTGGAAATGATATGCTCTTGTTCAATCACTGTTGACAAATGAAGCTAGTCTGTGAGAAGATCCAAAGCTATTACCCACTGAAGGATGTAGGATGTTATCATTGGGGAAGATAGATAACAAGAGATTTCGGCAAACACTTTACATTTATTTTTTTGATCCAAAAAAGATTATACTGGAACATCCATTTTATTTGTATGATGCACATAATATCAGTACACACAGGTTTTTTGAAAAAGGTTTGTGAACACTTTGCACTGGTAAATTCATAAAGTTACCCTCTGGGGTCCCATTAAAAGTATTTTTTTAATTATGCATATGAAGTTTTCATGTTTATTAAAGGTTACTGCAAATACCTTTATTCTTCATACTAAACTGAGCCTTCCATGATGCAATGCAGCCACCTAAGGATTCATTTACCTTTGCAGGCATGTTATCCCTAGCATAAATTTCTGTTCCCAGGGAGCCAAAAGTGCCGCGTACTGGACTGCCATGCGCTTGTAGATGCAGATGCTTCACATGCAAGAATATGGCTGCATATAGCCATTCACATGTTTTGGCGGCTGTACGTGGTACCAGCAGATCCCCAGGTGCAGGAAAAACACTGGGAAAAAACTTATAAAATGTCTAAACCATATAGTATCACCTCTACTCTAGTGACCACAAGCATCGCATAACCTATACTGTATACCATATTTTTCACTCCATAAGACGCACCTGACCATAAGACGCACCTAGGTTTTAGAGGCAGAAAACAAGAAAAAAAATATTCTGAACCAATGGACTGCAGACATAGTACAGGAGATGACCAGAGACTGCGGACAGTACAGGAGATGATCAGAGACTGCGGACAGTACAGGAGATGACCATAGACTGCGGACAGTGCAGGGGATGACCAAGAGACTGCAGACATAGTATAGGAGATGACCAGAGACTGCAGACAATACAGGAGATGACTAAGAGACTGCAGACACAGTACAGGAGATGACCAGGGACTGCGGACACAGTACAGGAGATGACCAGAGACTGCGGACACAGTACAGGGCTGACTAAGAGACTGCTGACCTTTGGGGAGGGAGGGGGAGCTGGTACCTGAATTTGACAGGTACCACTCCCACTTCCGCGGAGTTGTCCTCCCTTTAGTGTGGGCACCCGGCTGACCGCCGGGTGCCCAGTGCGCATGCGTGAGAAGCGTTGCGCTTTGTGATTGGTCGGACGCCTTCTGGGACCTGTGATGTGTCCGAGAAGATGCCGTACCATTCACAAAGTGCAGCGCTTCTCGCGCATGTGCACTGGGCACCCGGCTGTGAAGCCGAGATCCTACACTAAAGAAGCCGGCGCGGGAAGACTGTGCAGCCATGGACCGAGGAACAGGTAAGGCCCTGCTGCAGAGCTGAGCGGCCGGCCCGGTATTCTGACACGGCAGCAGTGGAAATACCGGACCGGCCACTCCATATTCTCTCCATAAGATGCACAGACATTTTCCCTCCTTTTTTTTTGGGGGGAAAAAAGTGCGTCTTATGGAGCGAAAAATATGGTATATCAATAAACTCTAACATTCATATGTATAATTTTCTGTCTTCATCAATACCCCTGTAACACAAACATAAAGTAATGCCCGTAGCGTAAAAGAAGGAAAGAAGTAGCGCAGGGCAGGCATGACTAGGCCTAGAGTGGGAAGGAAGACTAGAAAGGGTTAAGTCAGTGCCAGGGGGTTTGAAAATATATAGGTGGGAGCTGGTTGGTAGAGGGAGAACGTGGGTGGTCTCTTTGGCACCTTTGGGTGGGGTGTCCTGGGTGGGGGGCAGTCAGTCGGAGCTGGACGTTGGTGAGTGAGCTTCTGTGATTTACAGCTTGCAAACCAGCCGTACAGTGTGGCCGTTATTGATCGCAGTTTTAGCGGTATGGAGGACCTGGTGGCCCAGCTGCGGGAGGCGGCAGCCTCACTCGGGATGGACTGGCTGCAGAGCAGGGTCTCTGCCTTATTGCAGGACCCGGCTTTATCGTCGGAAGAAAGGGGGCGGGAGCGCCCACATGCTCGGAGGTCAAGGCCTCCGGAGCGCTTCAGCTCGGACTCCCCCTCCCCCAGAGCTCAGCGCCGCATCAGGAGCCCCGCTCGGGACCCTCCGGCCCCGCAGGCAAGGCACTCTCTGGCCTCTGCTCGCGGGGAGCCGGGAGGAATCCTCAGCTTCGGCGGAGCTCGGTGGGCGGGGTTTCGTATGGAGGAAGCCCCTCCCCCCCGCCCGCACGTCAACAGAGACAGGACGGTAACGGCTCCTCCACTGACAAAGTGCATGTCAGGGAGGGAGCCCAACATGGGAGAAGGAGCGCTGCGGCTGCCGGGCTGTCCCCTGCAGCAGTCGGCGGGCCTCCTGTGCAGCATGGAGCGGCGGCTCCGAAGAGGCACAAGCAGAAGGGCAGCACTGGGCAGAGTGCTGAGGAGGAGTGTGTGACGGGACGGAGACCAGGGACGTCGAGGGGCGTGGCTGGTGCCAGGAGGCGGAGTCAGCAGCGCCACGGCCCGGAGGGACCCGTGGCTCCTGGGACGGGGAGGCCATGCAGCCGTCAGGAAGAGGACGAAAGATCAGAGGGCGAGCTTTCGGAACCCGATGCGGGGGTGACAGCTGGCCGCTCTGCGTCGATGGAGTCGGGACGCGCGGCTGATGGGACATCTCCTGGGCAGCCTGGTGAGTTCCCTGTTTTATTTTCTTCTGCACTGTTGGGGGGAGGCGGGGGCGCGGCCCCGGCGGAGAGGGATGCAGGCGTTCCCGAGTCAGGTTTAAGGGGGGGTCTCGGCGATTTGATGTCCGGTTTGAGGGATTTGTTGCGGCGCTTTGAGCGGGGTGAGGGTAGGGGCCCTGGGCCTGCTTCAGCGTGGCTTCCGCCGCCGGGTGGGGAAGGGTTCGGGGTCCTAGAGCAGGAGGGAGGGGACGTGCGGAGCTCGGGAGTTTCTCCTCCTCCTGGTTCTGCGCCAGGGGTGGTTACGGCGGAAACAGGTGCTCTGGTTTCCGGGGTTTTAGATGGGGGTGCTGGGGTCTCCGGGACGGTAGGCTTGGCGGACTCGGCCAAGTGCGAGGTGTCCGTATGTTTCGAGGGCCCTTTGGGTGCGCACTTACCATCGGAGGTTCGAGAGCAGATTTGGAGAGGGGAGTATGTGGAGATTTTCACGCTCATGCCTTTGGAGATTTTTCCGTTAGATGGGTCGCGGGCTGACGAGGGTAGGCGAGAGGAAGCTGAGAAGCGGCGTTTTCGTTTTATCCCGCGTACATTTGCGAATTGGATGCAGGCATTTGCGATCATGGCCAGTGTCATTGGGGAGAAGACTCCTGAGCATTGCTCAGCTCTCTTTGTTACCTGGATGCCATTAGCGAGGCTCACAGGGTTTACGGTGGGACCGCATGGCTTCGATACGACGAGCAGTTTCGGCAGCGGCGGGCTGTTCGCCCTTCGTTGCGTTGGGACCATAAGGACATTGGCCTTTGGATGCGCCTCATGACTCCCGTGCGGGCTCCTGGTCCGTTTTTTTTTTTTTTAGGGCGGGGTCGGTGGTTCATTCTCCCCAGGACAATCGGCCTCAAAGCGTAGGGGTTTATGTTGGCAGTTCCAAGAGGGCGCGTGTCGTTTCGGGGGGTCCTGCCGTTTTTTAAACATAAGTGTTCAGGTTGCGGCGGCTCCCATATTTTGTCGCGCTGTTTCAAGCGGGGTAGAGGCCTGCCCGGAGAGCATGCTAGTAAGAGGGACAACTCTGGTGAAAGTGGAAAGGATGCGGCCTTTCCTAAATAGATATCTGGATCGAGCAGCCGCCGGGCTGCTGTTGGCTGGGTTTTCGGAGGGTTTTCGTATCCCGTGTAGTTTGACTTCGATCCCCCCTTTAGCTCGTAACTTACGGTCAGCGGTGCAGCATGCTGAGGTGGTGTCGGCAAAGTTGAGTAAGGAAGTGGGGTTGGGACGCATGGGCTGTTTTCTTGCGCTCCGTTTTCAGATCTGGTGGTTTCCCCCTTGGGGGTGGTGCCCAAGAAGGAGCCGAATTCGTTCAGGTTGATTCACCACCTGTCTTTCCCCAAAGGGGGGGTCGGTTAATGACGCCATCGATCCACAGTCCTGTTCGGTGTCTTACACATCGTTTGATTCGGCGGTTTTTCTGGGTTCGTCGTTTTCTGGGGTGCCATTGGCAGGGCTCGTTTTACGTTGATAAGTGCCTTCCCATGGGGTGTTCGATTTCTTGCGCATTGTTTGAGCGGTTCAGTTTGTTCTTGGAGTGGGTGGTGCGGGATGTCTCCGGGATAAATTCGGTCATCCACTATTTGGATGATTTTCTTAGCGTGGGTCCGCCCGCTTCCCTGGTATGCGCGGTTTTGCTGGCCATGTTGCAA